GCCGCCGGCTTGGTCGTTTTGGCCGCCGGCTTGGTCGTCTTGGCCGCCGGCTTGGTCGTCTTGGCTGCCGGCTTGGTCATGGGGCGAGCCACGGGTGTCTTCTTGGGCTGCGGCTTGGGGCTCGGCACAGGCTTGGCCGCCATGCGCGCTTCTTTCGCCTTGCGGCGCTGCTCGGTGGCGTAGAGAGCAGGGTATGTCTCACGGAAGAGCTCTTCCTCGCGCGCGCGGCGCTTGGCCTCCTTGTCTTGGACGTGCTGGCTGTTGTGGAGCATGGTGTTTGCGATAATGACGCGATGCAAGACGCCATTTCACTCGCTGTAAAAACGATATTGCAGGTTTTTCCCTTGTGAAGCGACAGGGCATGCTAGCTTTTACCTCGCAGCCTTTACAGGCCCGATACGATTCATGCCCTGCTTTTGTGATACCGGCATCGAGGTTCGGCGGGACGCAGAGTCGGTGCCGAGTGATAGAGCTTGAGCCTGACTACGAAATCGTACCTGTGAATGTATGTGGAAGCAACTGCGTGCAGTCAGCTGACCTACCCCTCGCCGCTTTTCAACGAGCTCCTCATTCGAAAGATACGCTGCGACAATAGGCTGCCACGTCATGCAAATGCGGGTTGGTTTTCCCAGCACATTCGCACTTATGATCCATTGTCGCCTTCGGTGCTTGAGACCCACGTATACTGGACCCATCCTGCGACGGGGTTGAATTGCTCCCATACAATTTACCCCTCGAGGCAGAGTAGACTTTATATGACGTCGCCAAAAACGACTGAACGACAGACAGTGCATTGGTCTCTCCAATATCTGCCTCCCCATAGCCAAGTCGCTGCTAATACTAGATCACGCAAGAAGCGGTACTTCGCTTTGCTATCGTACGCACGGCCAAATAAAGACTCTACATCAACGACAGGGTGGATGCGGTGGGCTCTGTCCAGCACCCATCTTTCAATCCACGGCTGCTCGTCCACTGTTTCATACCGTATTTCAAGCCGAATTTAAAACAGTGTTTATATCAATGGGTCCCCCTACCATTGCGACTTGATCTTTGTATGAGAACGTTGTTTGACCCTACCTCATGTCCGCTCAAGTGCGCTTTCCCACATCACCACTGATCATGATGATGCTTCGTCTCCGCGTTGCGCCGTCGGCGCTGCGCCTGCCCAAGGCCGCGCTCCACGCGCCCGCCCGCTTCTTTAGCGCTGCGCCCGAAGAGAAGAAGTTCGAGCTCGTGTACGAAGCGCCGCTCATCAAGCCCGTGACGACCATGAAGGCCGTGTCCGTCACGTCCTGCGTGCTCACGAGCGTGGGCATGCCCCTTGGCTGCTACTACGGCAACGTCACGGCGTCGCTTGTTGGCCAGGTACCTTGGTCCTAGCTCCATATGCAGCACAATCTCACATCGTCCCTGCGCGTCTAGTGGGCCATGTGCGGCACCGTCATGGTACGTTCGTTAGCCGCGCCTTGAACCCACAACGACGTGTCATTCTAGTTCTTTGGCATTGGCACGACGTCGCTCTTCCACTACCTCTTCAAGCCGTACGTGCTGCGCATGTGGGTCGACCGCAGCTCCGAGACGGTCGCGGTCGAGACGCTCAACCTCCTCGCGCGCAAGAAGCGGACCGAGTTCGTCCTTGCCGACGTCGCTTCGCCCGACGTGTCGAACCACCCAATGGTCAACTTCAAGGCCAAGGACCAGCACTACTTCATCCACCCCGAAGTCTTTCAGGACCGCGCGCTCGCTGAACGCCTCTTGGGCAAGAAGATCGAAGACGCGCCAGAGGACCCGCCCCAAGCGGCCTAGATAGGAGATGACGACGTCCCATTTTGGTGTATACAGAGAAGGCTGCGCCTTTACACGCGAATGCAGAATATTGTGTTGGCTTCATCAGTATACATACAGGGGCTGGCTTGGCGGAAGCATGCGCCGACGCACGATGTGGCTTCTGGCTCCCGCGGCGATGGCCGTGCCACTGTTTCGCCTCGACAACGCCGAGCTTGCGGCGCTCGTCCAGCTCTACGACAAGTGCGCGACGCAGCCCTCGTCGGCGATCGTCCAGACGTGGTGCACGGGCGATGGCCGCTGCGGCGCCAACGTCACGACGCACCCGTGCACCGGGCGGCTGCTTGAGGAAAGCAACGCGACGACGCTGGCCGCGCTCCCACATCGTTCGCCGTGGTTTGGCATCACGTGCGACCCGCGCACGGACCCCGTCTCGGTGCTCGAGGTCGCGCTGCCGTACCAAGCGCTGGTCTGCACGACGTTGGATCTGGACTTTTCGGCGTTCGCGCGTCTAAAGCTCGTGAACTTGGAAGGCAACGCGATCTCGGGGCCGGTTCCGACATGGGTCCCATTGCTGCCGGACCTCGAAGTCCTCAACTTGAACTTTAACAACCTTTCGGGGAATGTGCCCGGCGCCATTGCCGATGCGCCCAAGCTCCAGGAGCTCAGCCTCGCCGGCAACGCTCTCCGTGGCCCCCTCCCGCGTGGGCTCGAGGTCCCGCCGCTCGAGTTGCTCGATGTCGGCAACAACAATTTGCATGGACCGCTGCCCACGGCGTTGCTACACAGCGCGACGCTCCGGTACTTGGATGTGAGCGGCAACGCCTTGGATGGGCCTATTCCTACGGCGCAACTGCCGCGCTTGGAGCACTTCGACGTCGCGTTCAACCAGCTCAGCGGACCGCTGCCACTTAGTCTTAGCACCTGGGGCCGCCACGACAACAGCTCGATCTCGATGCTGACATACTTTGACGCGAGCAACAACAGTCTTTCAACGCGCCTGCCTTCCGATTTGGGCGACTTGGACCTTCTCGAGCACTTTTCCGTGACCAACAACTCGCACGTTTACGGTCGCCTCCCGCGTCTACCGCCACTGCTCACGACGGACGCTGTCGCACGCGGCGCCAACCTCAGCTGCCCGCTGCCCGACCTGCCGGGCCACGACTGGGGCGCCACAAGGTGTGTCTGCGGCGACGGCAGCACTGTCATGGCCGATGGCACCTGCGCGCTCTGTCCGTCGGGCACGTATTCCTCGAATGCGCTTCTTGACAAAGCGTGTGCTGTCTGTGACGTCGGAACGTTTTCGCTGCAGGGCGCTGACACTTGCGCTCCATGTGCCGCAGGGACGTTTGCCAACACAAGTGGTGCTTCCGCGTGCACAATGTGCGCACTCGGTTCTGTGTCTGCCACCGGCGCCTCGGAGTGCCACGTCTGCGCACCTGGCACGACATCGACTCTGACCGCCGACGGCTGCGTCCCGTGTCCGCCAGGCACCTTTTCCTCGGACGGCGGGATGTGTGAGCCGTGCCCGGCTGGCGCCGTGGCGGCCGCCTCCGGTGCGACGCAGTGCACTCTGTGCCCATCGTCGACCTTTGCACCGGCCGGATCCGCGTCGTGTTTACCATGTGCCACCGGTTTTGTGGCCGATGGCAGTGGCAACGCAGAGTGCTTTGCCCAACCTCCGAGCGGCTGGGGCTGGAAGAACCGCACGACGACCGCACCGTGCACCGCCGGGACCTTCAACAACGGCTCGTTTGTGGCGTGTCAAGCCTGCGCTTTCGGCACCGCCGTAGCCGTCGACCAAGCAACCGCTTGCGAGCGCTGCGTCGTTGGTACGTACGCACCTCGTCGCGGCAGCACTGCGTGCATCCCGGCCCCAGTGGGCACGTGTGTGCCGTCCACTGGCGCCCGCCGCCCGGATCCCTGTGCCCCGGGCACCTTTGCCGACCGCAGTGGCCAAGCAGCCTGCACGATCTGCCCCGGTAACACGACATCGACATTGCCTGGCGCGGTCCGATGCAGTGCGCCGTCGGCGGGCCACATCCTTGAAAACACGTCGTGGCCGCAGCTGCTGCTTACGGTCCCAGTGCATGCGTCCTTTCTCGACGGCGCCAACACACACATGCTCGAGTCGATTGTCGCACGTGCGTGGACGTACTTGGAGCTTCAGTGCACGCCCGTGGTCCTCTCGGTGTTCGAAAACGAATTCGCGCCACGCGGTACGCAGTACGCTGGCAACCACAGCGTCAGTGTGCGCATACTCCTAACGTCGTGCTTGCCGCGATTGACACCAGACGTGGTGTTGGACAAGATCGCGATGCCTATCGGGTCGGGGCAACTGGCGTGGATCCTGCGACTCTTGTGGCAACCACACGGCTGGCCCGACGTCCTGCCGTCCATCGACCTATTGCGCTTTTTCGACTCGATGCAGCCCGCGCCGTGCCCGGTTGGCACGTTCTGGGCTCATGGCGACTGCCACCGGTGCCCGGCCGGGTCGTTTGCGGCGACACCAGGTGCGCTGGGCTGCACCCTCTGCAGTGTCAACACGGTCGCGGCTACTCCTGGGTCGTCGGTCTGCGCTGCGTGCTTGAAACACACGCACGCTGCCATACCGGGTTCTCTACAGTGCGACGACTGCCCACTTTTTGCACTGACGTTGGACCCGCAGTGCCGCGCGTCGCTCGACGCACTCATCTTTTACGCGTGCGTATGTCTCTGGCTCCTCGTCGCGGCGTACCGTAGCTGTCGCCGGCACTTGGATGGCGTGTCGCCCGAGCCCGAGATGCTCCTCGTCGCCTATCGCACCAAGAACAAGCAGACCGTCAACACGGTCCAGTACCCGCTACCACGCGTCATCTCCCGTCGGAGCTTGCAGAACCGTCGTATGCCAACGCCAAGCATTCAGTAATCAACTATGCACTTATGGTTTCTGGATGGTCTCGACGTAGTCGTAGTCGTCGAGCACATCGGTGCTCCGGACGCGCTTGTCGGACGCAGGTGCTTGGAACGACTAGAAACACGTCGACTGTTGGCCATGTATGTTGAAAGATAAGTACCTCGTCTTGAGACTCGGCCACGGACGCGTCAATGTCGTCTTCGACGTCGCTACGCATGTCTGACATGACCAAAAGAACGCTCACGACACTTGCATCTACCTCGCAATGTCTTCTTCGGCGTCAAAATCTTCCTCAAAGTCGCTGCCGTACTGGTCGTCGTCGCTCTTGACGTCGAGTTCGTGCTGGAGTGAGGCTTTCAGCTGCTTTAGCGTCCCTGTTTCGTCCTCAGCTTCCATCGCCTTGAGCGTCGCATCCAGTGACGACAGACGCGCTTCCTACAAAGCTTTTCGTCACGTCATGTTTCCTGCTCTCAAAGCAATGACTTCGTCCGCCGCGTTTTCGTCGTCGTCGTCGTCATTCTCATCTCTCGCTTTGTCGCTGGGCATGACATGTGCCGCTACAGACAGCAGCGTCTTGTCGTTGCCATCGTCCAAGCCGTTTCTGTCGCCAAGGCGTTGGGATGATGCGGCCGGTGGTAGCGACGACATGCGGGATTGTGGCGTGGCCTGCGAGATAAACGTGTACTCATCATCAGACGCCTCGAGCGTCGCTGGCGACGGTGTCGGTTGCTCGGTTGCCTGCACCACGAAGTTACGCTCTACGACACGCTTGAGCTGGCGGCCATACGCACCTTTGGCGCCTCGCGGGACGCGCTGCTGTCTTCAAACGATTCGCTCACATCGCCCATGGATGCCTCCATCTCACTCTCGACTTGCTCGTCGTCGTCGCCTTCGTCTGTGGGCGTGGCCACTGTCGCCACTAGCGTGGCGGGTCGCACGAGTGGCTCGGCCGAGTGCACGGGAAGCGACTGCTTTTGCACCGCAGAAAAAATCGACGGTGCCGGTTCGTCGTCTTCGCTCTCGTCGACTTCGGCACTCCTCGTCTTTGGTAGATCCTGGGAGGCCTAGGCGAAATGACGAGGCAGACGTAGCCGATGGTACCTACCTTGGCACTGGGTGGCGCCCGTGGGGCGAGCGCTGTCAGGAGCAGAGCGATCTTCTCCGAGGCGTCGGGCAGTCCAATCTCTTTGGCGAGCGTCTGTCTGTCCATCAAGAGCGGGCTCTACTCGACCGAGTGCCAAGTCAGTCACGTAGGCAGGGGCGCGTACCTCAACTTCGGTCGACAAGACCGAGAGCGTCTCGTGGAGGTCCAGCTGCCGGAGAAAGTCGGCGATGACGCACAGCGCGAGATGCGTATCGGCTGATCTGAGTAGGTGCGCTTTGCCCAACGACGGCGGCGACGGCGACGTCTCGTGCAGCGCCTTGATGACCGCCGCTCGGAGTTGCGCCTGCCATGTTGGTCAAAATCGATCGACGAGAATCGACTAGCGTACCTTGATGTGGCTAAGGACGCCTTGCGCTTCGAGCGTCTTGGTGACCATGAGCTTCATCTCGTGCTCGGCCGGCGAGAGCGTCGTCGTCATGGGTGTTATCAATATGAAACGGCTTTTGATTGGCATCATTTTGGCCAATCCCGATGCGCCACGTGAATAGTGTGAGTCTATCCACACAAGCCATGTACCGACTACCACACTCTCTTTCAACCTCGTCGCGCAGAGAAGTCCAGCCGCTCTCAGCAACGATTGCCATTTCTTTCTGCTGCACTCCAACGATGCTAGCCAGCGCGTGCCTCGACCGCATTCCACGATGATCAACAGTATTTGTTATAACATATAATTTAGTGTATATGAATTTTTACGACACTATATATGGATTGCACTGTGCACACGGTGATTCGAGAGAGAAATAGAAACACTATATATACGTATAGAAATAGTATGCATCCAATGACACGCGAGGCAAGATCGCAGCAAGCGAAAGGCCAAGCCATGTCGACGGACGCGGACGAGGAGCGCTACGAAGGAGAGGACACCAAGATGGGCCTGAACATGGCGGTGGCCACCGGCCGGAACAACGTGGTCGTCAAGGTCGGCATGGTCGGCGACGCGCAGGTCGGCAAGACCTCGCTCATGGTCAAGTACGTCGAAGGCAAGTTTGACGAGGACTACATCCACACGCTGGGCGTCAATTTCATGGAGAAGACGATTACGCTCCGCAACACAGAGATCACGTTCAGCATCTGGGACCTCGGCGGCCACCGCGAGTTCATTAGCATGCTGCCACTCGTCTGCAACGACGCGGTCGCGGTCCTCTTTATGTTTGACCTCTCGCGCAAGGCGACGCTCACCAGCGTCAAAGAGTGGTACCGCCAAGTACGCGCCATCAACAAGGTATCGCCTTACCACTAAGATGGTAGCGATGATCCTGGTGATAGAATGCATTCCCGTTCCTTGTCGGGACCAAGTACGACCACATGACGAGCTTCTCGCCCGAAGAGCAAGATGACATCACGAAACAAGTACGTACTGCACCTCGAACCCATGAGATCGAATTGAACGATACAATGCCTAGGCGCGCAAGTTTGCCAAAGCCATGAAGGCACCGTTGATCTTTACGTCGGCGTCGCACTCGGTGAACGTCCAGAAGGTCTTCAAGATTGTGCTCAGCAAGGTCTTCGACCTCAAGTGCACGATTCCGCTCATCCAAAACGTCGGCGACCCCATCTTGGAGTACTAGCACCTCCTGTAATGCAAGCGACAGGACGATGAGGAAAAGTGAGCGACAGCAATAATGTCATGTCTGCAAAAGGACGACGAGAGCGTTGTAGGTTGATAGATTGATACATGGAAAATGAAAAAGTACATGACTTAGCCGCGACGCTGGCTGAGACGCCACGAGTCCTTGGGGTTGAAGCGGTCGTGGAGCGGCTCGATCTTCTGCGCCTTCTTCTGCTTGGTCATCTTGGTCGGGTCGCCCTTCTTGAAAAAGCCGGCGCGAGCTCGACGAGCCACTTGGGGTCGATCGCCATGACGTTGCGCATGTACTCCTTCGTCGTGAGCACGAGTTCTTGGTAGATGACCCACTCCGGGTTCTTATTGAAGAGCGACGACGACGGGTGGATGTACACGGGCTGGCCTTCCACCATGGTGCGGTACCCTTCCTGCGGATCCTTCTTGGCCGAGTTGGCAAAGTAGCCCGACACGATCGCGCGCCGAATCTTGTTGTAGTTCTTTCCCGCCGAGACCACGTCCATCTTGAAGCGGTCCATGGTCGAGAGCAGCTGCTTCCGGACATCCAACGCGCGGCGGATCGCGCGGGCTTGGATAAAGTTCTCAAAACACCACGGATTTGAAAACTTCGAGTGCTTCCACGCCTCGTACACCGCGAGGAGCGTGAGCTGGTCGCCTTCGGGCTGGTTGAACTTGGCCTTCTTCGAGTCGGCTTGCGCTTGCTTTTCCTTCGGGCGAAAAAAGACATTCTCGACCGCGAGCATCGAGATGATCGTGAGCACTTCGTCCGAGCAGCCGAGCACGACGCTCGTCAAGAGCACCTTGGCGTCCTTGGGCTCGACGGGAAACTCCGACATCTTCTTTCCGAGGCGCGTTAAGAGCCCTTCGTCGTCGAGCGCGCCGAGCGCGTAGAGGTTCTCCATGGCGGCAATGAGCGCGGGGACGGGCGGCGGGTCGAGGAAGGCAAAGCCCATGAGGTCGTTGATGCCCATGGCCTTGAGCTGCAGCACGATCGTGCCGAGGTTCGTGCGCTGAATCTCGGGAATCGCGGTCGGAAGCATCTCGTTCTTGTACGCCGCTTCCGTGTAGAGACGATAGCACTTGCCGGGGCCCGTGCGCCCGGCTCGACCGGCCCGCTGCCGCGCCGACGCTTGCGAGCACGGCACGACGATGAGCGAGTCCATACCAATCTTAGCGTTGAACGCCTTCTCCTTTTGGAAACCCGGGTCCACGACGTAGTAGACGCCATCGATCGTCAGCGACGCCTCGGCAATGTTGGTCGCGACCACACACTTGCGCGAGCCTTTGGGCGCAGGCTCAAAGATGCGCGTCTGCATCTCGGACGGCAGCGCACCGTAGACCGGGAGGATGATGAGCTCGGGCGCGAGGGCGCCGAGCGACTTGATGCGCTGGTAGAGCACCTCGCACGCCGTGTCAATCTCTTCTTGGCCCGTCAGGAAGACGAGAATGTCGCCTTCCGGTTCGCTGAGGTGGATCTGCATGACCGTGATGAGCGCCGCGTCGAGGTAGTCGGCTTCCGGCTCCTTCGTGTACAGAATTTCGACGGGGAACGTTCGGCCGGGAATCGTAAAGATCGGGCAGTCGTAGAAGTAGTGCGAAAACTTCTCCGCATCCAAGGTCGCACTCGTCACGATGATCTTGAGCTCCGGACGCTTCTTGACGAGTGCTTTGAGCAAACCAAAGAGCACGTCCGTGTTGATCGTGCGCTCGTGGGCCTCGTCGAGGATCAGCGCCGAGTAGCGCGAGAGCGTCGCGTCGGCGAGGTACTCGCGCATGAGCATACCTTCCGTCATGTACTTGATGACTGTCTCGGGCGACGTCACGTCTTCAAACGCACGGCGTAGCCGACCTCTTGGCCGAGCGCGCAGCCAAACTCTTCTGCGACGCGCTTGGCGACGCTGGACGCCGCGACACGGCGCGGCTGCGTGCAGCCAATCATACCGCGCGACGTGAGACCCATCTCGGCCATGTACTGCGTCATCTGCGTCGTCTTGCCGCTGCCGGTCTCGCCAATGACGACCAGAATCTGGTTGTCGCGGATCGCTTGCATGAGCTGGCCCTTAAGCTTGAAGACGGGGAGACTCTCGCGCTGCTCGATCATGCTCTTGGCCGAGACGTGGCCGTAGCTGAGGTTCTTGCCTTGCGCCTTGCTCTTCCACTCGGGCAACTCAAAGGACGAACCCATGTTGATACCGCGGAGCTCGGTCGCAAAGTGGCGCTCGCCGGCTTCGGGCATCGGATCTTCCCACGGGCGGTTAAGGTCCTTTGGGATCGAGTCGAGGAGCTCGTTCTGCTGCGTTTGGCGGAGCTCGCGGCGCTCCTTGGCGAGCGACGACTGCTGCATCGCCGCACGAGAGAGCGATCCGTCCGGGTTCTTGACGATGCGGACCGGCGACATCTCGAGCGCCGCTTTCGTCTGCCCTCGCAAGAACGTCGGCTCGTCTTCGTTGAGCTCGACCTCAAACTCCTCTTCGGTCTCCTCCATGTTGAGCAAGCCGTGGTCGTCGTCGAAGGTCGGGTACTCGGACACGGAGAGCACGCCGGCGTTGATGAGCTGCCGCGCCTCAAAGCGCTCGGGCGACGACATGCGCTGGACGGCGCGCGCGCGGCTCGTGTTCTCGTACTCGTCGCGGTCAATTTCTTGCATGCCGGGCGCCGTCGGGTTGACCCACGACTTGGAGTCGGTCCGGTTGTCGACGCCCGAGGTGGCCCGCATGGGCATGAGGTCGCGACCTGTCTTTTGGTCGACGTCGCGCATTGAGAGCATGAGCTTGCCCGAGACCGAGATGGCCTTGACCTTGACGCGGTCACCGCGCCGGACGACTTCCTTCGGGTGCGTAATGCGCGCGTCGCTAATGTTGCGCACGTGGACAAGACCTTCCTTCGTCCCGCGCACGCCTTCCAGCTCGACAAAGATGCCAAAGTCCATGAGCTTGGAGACCCGGCCGTTGTAAATCTCGTGCAGCTCGACTGGGCGCTCGCGCTCGCGCGACCGACGGCGGTCCCGACGGTCTCGGCTACGACTGCGGCTGCGCTTGCGGTACCGATCGCGCGACCGAGACCGGCTCTTGTCGCGGCGAGACGAGGCCGGCGGCGCGCGGTCGGCGTCGCCAAGGCCGGCAATGTCTTGTACGTCGAGCGCCTCGTCGTTGATGGGCTTCGAGTTGGGCCGCGCGAGGCCGGGAAACGGCGCGTCGCTCGTCGGCAAGATTGGCTTCTTGGCCGGCTTCTTGGTCATCGTGCGGACGAGCTGGTAGAGGTGCAAGGCAAAGGTCATGGGGAACTCGGCGCCGTTGGCCGAGAGCTCGGCGTAGAAGGCCTTGCCATCCTTGGAGCTGCGGGCGAGGTCGATGATGAACTCTGCCAGCGTACGCTCACTCATGCCCAGGTGACTCTCGAGCTCCGAACATACCTTGGAGATCAAGCTCAGCTCCTGCAGCTTCTCCATGATGATCGCCACCACAAACAAGCTCCGAATGGGCTATCCGGACAACCTGCTCGCTTCCGGATACACCAGTAATCGACTAAACGCACGCAACCTATTCGCTTGTCCGTGGCAGCCGCGCTACCCACTGTCGACGCCCATTCCAAGAGGCTCCACTGCGCCTGGACGCACGGTGCAGGTATGTAATAGACTTCAGCTTGCGCGTTCCAACTACGCACTTGATCGATGTGTCGTGTGGTACGAATTCACTCCTGCGTGGTACGATTTAGGGTCCGAATTCGTGGGTTGGCACGCTGTGATTGGCAGAGTAGACAACGGCCAGGCGTTGGGGTCCCTCAACGTAACATTGTGGCCGCTGGAACGGGTATCTTATGCTATCTGCCGCTGCTACATGGCCCAATAAAGGCCGATCTAGCGTGGTTCCCACTTGGAACCCTTTTTTCTCCACATACGAGTCCCTCGCCGTGGTGATCACGTCACGCGGCTTATCGCTCGTTAACGTACCGAGTGCTGGTTTGACAGCGTCGCCAGCACACCCACCATCGTGCCACGTCGGCTGTCATGGCCTGGAGGTCTGCGCGCCGCTTTCGTCCGATATGCGTGCGCATCGCTGGAGATGGAAGACAAGAGGTTTGAAAGACACGTTGTAATCGTGTAGAGTCAGCGCACAGCAAGCCAAAGCGACAGCAGCCCTGGACAGACACTCGTGCCCACTCGCACCACGTCGACCGGGCGTGGAATGCATCTGGCGAGCAAGCACAGGCGATAAAGCAATGGCGTCCACTGGTGGCATGGCGCCCATGGAAAAACCACGCTTGTCCGACGTTGCTGCGGACGAGGATGCCGCTGTCGCACGTGTCAATACATGTACCGGTACTGTAGCATCACGACAAGGAGCCATCCAGGTAAGCACACCATGCAGAACCACTTGGACGTGAATCTCGCTGCCACGGACGACGACACCAAGAGATCGATCGGACCGCGAGTTGACCTGCGCTTCAACACGTCGCACGAGATCTTGAAGCCATCGCTGGAATCGTGAGACGTGTCATTTTTTGCTACCAGTCCACACCGCCGCCGCCGAAGATCGCACAGAATTCGGTCGAATTCGGTCTGGTGCTCCGATTGGTGGAAATACCGCCAAGCTCAAGGAATAAAGTTGGCTACAAACATCAAGTCAAACTCGTCGGGGGTGGTTGGACCTTTCTCCCCTGGATAGCTCCACCCAACTCGTAGCGTGCCCATGGCCTCGGCACCATGGTGCCATCCGTTTCTACGGTCTATCATTGCCCATTCTATCTGCAACCTTGGAGTGCCTTCGTATGCGCATGGTCTATCGACGGTCGTAGAGATCGGCACCATCCCGCCAGAATTCGTGTCAGTGCCAGAGTTGGGTGTCTTCGAACTCGGCGTCTCATTGGCCATAAATCGGAGCAGTGGTGTCCAGCAGGGTTCCTTTGCCTTCCTCATCTCATCATGTTGCGCCGATTCAGCACCAAGGTCATCCTGCCCAAGGTCAAGGCCCCGCGCGTCCGCCGGGAAGTCCCCGCGCCCATCATCCTCGTAGGCCATGCGCCCGCCTGTGCATGGAGCTCATGCTGGTGTAGACACAAGGGGCGGCGGACCGCATCAAGGAGCTGCTCGAGAACAAGCCCGACGCGATCGGCCTGCGCATTGGCGTCCGGACCCGTACGCCGCCGCGTCATAGCGATCCACGGCTCACTTTGGCTCTAGGTGGCTGTAGCGGCCTCTCGTACACGATGAACTATGCGACCGAGAAGATCAAGTTTGAGGAAGAAGTCAACGACAAGGGTATGGACGTCCTGGATGACGACCATGGACGCTCATGCGTCGTAGGCGTCCGGGTATTCGTCGAGCCCAAGGCACTCTTCCACATCGTGGGCACGACCATGGACTACAAGGTAATAGCATGGCGATCGTCGACCAGCGCCTCATCGCATGTAGATCACGCCCGTCTCGGCCGAGTTTACATTTGAGAATCCCAACGCCAAGGGCACGTGCGGGTGTGGCGAGAGCTTCAACGCGTAGTCGATGGTCTCGTTCTCTCTTCGTCGCCGCCAATATAGAATCGTCATGTGTACACATCGTCTTTTGTTCCTCGCCAAGTGCTATCTACAAGCGCGCCGTCGGCTTGATCGAGACGCGCGCGACAATGACTGTGATGTCGTCGGGCTTGAGGTTGTGGTCGAGCGACGCTTGCACGATGCTTGTCGCCGCGTCCTTGAGGTCCGGCACCGAGAGGACGCCGAGGAGCGACTGGATGCGACCATGCCAGTACCGACGCCAAGACGCGACCGGCTACACGACTCGTGCTGTGAGACAGAAGAAGAGACACAGAGTTTAGAGCGTACGGGGAAGAAGGCAGGGACTTCTTGGAGGTCCCGCGCAAAGTTGTCCCAGACGCCGTCCGTTGCCAGGACAATGAGGTCGCCGTCCTCGAGTTCGATCTCGCCCGTGTTGGCCTAAGAACGACGAGACTCCGAGACCAATTCCATCCACGGGACTCCTCTACCTCGCTTGGCATGTTCTCCATCGCCCCCATGACGCGGAAGCGCGGAGGAATCTTGGCTAGCTGGTACGGCGCCAGACCAATCGACTGGAACGCACTGCGAAACCAGACCGCGCCGTTGCGGACGATGCAAAAGCCAGAGTCGCCCAGGTTCGAGTACTCGAGAATCGGCGCGCCCGTCTTCGGGTCTTCCTTGATGTTGAGGATGCACGCGGTCGTCGAGCCAGCCTCGACGTGGTCGTCGTCAAGGACCATCGCATACGCCGTCTCGAGGATCTCGGACGTCGAGCGCGAGCCGTCGGCCAGCGCCAGCGCGTTGCGCATGAGCGCGCGCGAGATGCGGCTCGGGTCGACGTTGTTCTCGTTCCAGCCACCGACGCCGTCGGCGACGCCCACATAGGCCTGCGAGATAAAGAACGAGTCTTCGCCGCAGTTGTCGGCGCGCGGAATCGCGTCCATCTGGAGGCAGCGCTTGCCCTTGCAGGCGGCGTGGGCCTCAAAGAGGAACGCGGAGAACTCGCGCTTGGACGACGACGCCGACGGCTTGGACGCGCGGCTGCTAAAGGCTCGGGCCGGCGCCTTCAGCCGGGTCTGGAGCATCGAGCGCGACTGGCGAGCGAACATGACCTCAGCACGCAATGGCGACCAAGGCAAAAAGACCGCGTTATGTTGACTCACCAGCTGTTAGAGCAATGTTATAACACTGTCCAAGCCAACAAACTCGCTACCTCGCTTTTTCGACTGTAAAAATCTTTACACGGACGATTTTATCTGACATGCCCCGTTTTACAGACAATACGTCGCTACTGCCAGGCATTTTCAGGGTGATCTAAAGTATCGCCAACTTTTCGACCCCGTTTCAAGAGCACCAAGCACAGCAGCAATACTACGCGGGATCCATTCGCGTCTACGAGCCTCTGTATACAAGGCAGCCTCTCAATGAGCAAGCTGGTCGACGGCAGAAGCTTCGTTGATGTCTTGGCGATCAGCAGCGTCGTTATGGCGCAGGCATGGACCAATCACAAGCCGCGAATCCAACGCATACAAACACCAAGCTTACGAAAGTGCACTTTCGAACAAGAAGACGATGCTGCGAGGGCTTCAACGCGGCTCGCTGCGACTCGGTGGGCCCAGCGCACGGATCGCCGTGCGCGCCATAAGCTCCGTCGATCCATTGCCGCCCAAGCACCTGCCGCTCGTGTACGAAGCGCCGCTCGCCGCTCGGGTGACAGCGATCACGCGGGCCATGGCGGCGACGAACGCCATCACGTGCGTGGGCATCCCAATCGCGTACACGCTCGGCCACTTTCCGCTCGCGACGCCAAGCCAGGTACACACGCGCCACGATTTTTTGCGCGTAGATTGCTCATCCTGCATAGCTGGCCATCTACGGCGCGCTCACGGTACAGGACACGTCGCGGAAGCAGTGCTCATGGCGCGCCTAGGGCATCGGCGCCGTCTCGACGGGGCTCATGCACATGCTCTTTTCGCCATACGTGACGCGCATGTGGATGGACACCGCAGCCAAGAAGATTGCGATTGAAAACGTGACGCTGCTTGGGACGACGACGCGCACGGAGCTGCGCGCCAGCGACATCTCGCGCAATGCGACGACGTGGCACCCGATGGTCAACTACACGAGCTTGCAGTGCCCGCTCTTCCTGCACACCAGTGGCAGCGCGCTCCTCGAATCGCTGCTGTCGCCCAAGTTGAAGGACGCGATGTACGACGCCCGACGGCGCCGGGACAAGGCCTCGGACACCTCACCCATGCTTTTTGGCAAGCGACTGGTGAGCACTCGTGACGTGAGCGGCTCGCTAGATACAGCATTGTAGACGCTGCGGTTCGACCCAACGGGTCGCATGACACACGAAGACTTTAGCCGCCACGACGTGCTCAAGATGGTGCAAAAGGCAGCCGTGCCAGCATCAACCTGGGTACGCCAGCCCGCGTCGTCTCGTGCGGAAGGAGGATGTGGCAATGCGACGTAGAGTGACACACCAGAGTACCGTGCGCATGTGAAAGCGCGTCCGAGCAGTCGGAGCAACAAGGGTGTTGTCGACATCCCCGTACCAATTCTTTGTTGTAGTGGCGTGTGATTAGCCCATACATTTGGCGTAGAACATTCACATGCGCGACATTCGCAAGCTCGACAATGCGTTTGCGATTGCGAGCAAACCGTCGATCACGGTGCGGCGCGGCGCGATCCTCGTCAACGCCGGTAGGCTTGTCCACCGAGTCGAAATGAACGCCACTTTTTAGATCCGATCCGCGCCATCATTATGCAAAACAACTGCGTCATCTTCCTCCAAGAAGGTGCCGAGAGCGTGATTCCACTGCTCGAATCCAACTTTAAAGAGTTTGACTCGCAGGACCACCCGTTTGAGTTTACGTGCGTGCAATCTCGTTTCTATCTATACTAAGGAAATGACGTAAAATTTTGTTGTCGTAGGGCGCTGGAATCGTTGCTTTTGACCATTTGCACGTACGGATGACTGTCCCCAAAGAGGGTTGGAGTCCAATGGTTGATTGTAGCATCCTCGAGAAGGACTGTGCGCGGGTCTTGCCGCAAGCCCAAGCAGCCATCGACAAGATGAGCCAAGACGCGACGCTAGCCGGCGAGCTTGAGACGCTGCGCTCGATGAAAAACACGCTGGACGAACTCAATTCGCGCGTAAATCAATTCAGAAAGCATCGACGAAAGACGCACATTCAGTTCTCTGGTCTAGGTCACGGGCACCCGCAAGGCATTTGTGGACATTCTGGAAAACGAAGAAGACTTGCGCATGATGCACCTAACCAAGGTAAGCATCCCGTTTTTCGAGACAAGATGCATGTTGCCTCATCCAACTAGCTGCACGATGACCCGTCGCTCGTCTACGACCTCTTTAGCTTTGATTCGGAAGAGCTCGAGTCGCTCCTGGAAGTCTACTTGGAGGTTTATCTAGTTTTTCACGTGGCGAAATCTGGACGATGTATTGAAATAGGATATCTACGACACGCAAACGCGCGTGGCTCTCATGCTGGAAAACATGCTCAACACGAAAAACATCGCGATGCTCAAGCTCGACGCCAAGCGCAACTACCTCATGACGCTCAACCTGACGCTGACGCTCTGGACGACGCTCATCACCGTGCCGACGTTTGTTGTTGGCGCGTTTGGCATGAACCTCAACTCGTACCTCCAGGAGGTCGACTACCTCTTCTACATTGTGTCGGGCCTCGCGATCGGCTTCCCCATTGGCGCCTACCGCTACATTTTGCGCTACTTTCGCCAGCGCGGTATCTCGCTCACGTGGAAAAACTACACGATATCATGCGCTATCAAACGTTGTCTTGTTTCCTTGGTTCAAGATGATTGGACGACAGGTCGCATCGGCACTGAGATATTCGCTTGAACCGTCGCCAGGTGCGGCGTTGAGACATTTGTTGACATTTGTACCCTACCCCTGACCTACCCCTAGGATGATCCTGCGTGTTTGCCCAGCCCATGGTCAGGGAATGGAGGACCAGCGGTATTCGCTTGTAAAGAAAGTACTGGAATGTGTAGTAAAGAGCACGAGCACCAATGAGACGGCCAACAACGTTGTCTGGCTATTGAAACAGGTTCTTTCTACCAAAATACCATCGCAGTCGCTAGCGGCATCGACCGTGCTGAGGGCTGGGAGATCCGCCAGATGAGTCTCTTTCGAGGCTTCGCGATCACATGCGCCACCGCCAACAACGAAGGGCGCCTCGACAGACTCTGCCGAGACGGCGCCCCGCATCTCGGGGGCTCCGTCGTTGTCGGAGTAGTGAGCTTCGTGGGCTTGATCCCATGGCACGAGAGGCAGCGGCGACTCGGATGCGAGAGACGACTCGATTCTCGTAGAACGGTGCAAGCTCTGCGCGTACAAGGCGTGGTAGCACCCAAACCATTCGAGATAAATCACAAAGCACTCTCCATTATTATGCTCCACGTGCAAAAACACAAAGCTTATAGCTCAAGCCGTGAGAGCGTCGAGGCGCGCGTCGGCGCGGGTGCGCTTGTGCTTGCGGTGGAGACGGTAGTAGGTCCAGTCGCGGCAAAACGTACACTGGTACGTGCCCGCCAAGAGCACTGTGTTGGTGGCCGACGTGAGCGCATTGGGCTGGAAAAGCGCACACTCGTCGCAACACGGCTCAGGCCCACGCTTGCGCATGTTGAACGGGTTCTCGTCCGTGAAGCTGACCATGACAATGGGCTTGCTGGCCACCGCCAAGGGGTGAGGGACGTGATCGTCTTCATCGGAGAGGTCGGATTCGAGCGTGGCCACACCCATCGACGGCTTGGTGCCAACGCTGCCAGAGGCCCGCGTTCGAAAGTCGACGAGCTTGGGCATTGGCGGTGGCGTTTCCCCTGCCGCCAGCGCCTTCTTTCGCGCCCGACTAGGAGAAAGCAGTATGAATATCCAATCGGTTCGAACACAAGCAGTAGTGTGTACTGAGCTTGGTCACGCGCGTTTTTGTATGCCCGATTCGCCGCGTGCCACGACTTGGAGCTGGCCTGGGTGGCTTTCTTGTGTCCTTGGCGGTATTCCTTCGACTGTTCTCGCTCGCGCTCACGGTTCTTCTCGTATAGAGCCTTCCTATTGGCTGCAATGGCCTCCGTGTTCGCAGCGCGGTACGCCTTCTTCTTGGCCGCAATCTTCTCCTTGTTCGCAGCGTAGTACGCCTTGTTCCGCATCCGCGCCTTCTCCGCGTCGACCTTTTTGCGGGGACGCTGCGCCTGCGCCTCGAAGTCTGCCGTCGTCATGGTGTGTTTGAGACTGACGGCAACGAGCGACACGACAAAGGTAAACGCCCGTTGGCGTCAAGAGTTTATCCGGACGAACATGAGCTGGCAGCCTGTGCTCGGCGTATTATCCGGATGCCACGAGCCAGCCTGGCGATCTTGGCAACGGGCGATTCCGTAGCTTGGTCCGCAGCACAAACTGGGTCATCCAAAAAACGCAAGACGGGCATAAATAGTATGGCATCGCAGTTCGAGTCGTCGTATGTGCTTACACCAACCTTGCTACAACCGCATGATGCCGTCGCTCTTGACGGGCTGCAACGTCGACTTGGTGTCCATCGACGGACGGCGGAGGACGGCGAGAGTCTCGAGGCTATCGAGTGGCTTGAGCGCCGACTCCATCGCGGCTTGCTGCTCGTCGTGCATCTTCTCGGCGCGCCAGCGCTGGTAGAGGAGTACGACTTGGCGCACCATGAGCGCGGCAAGCACGAGGAGCTGGAGCGCGACGATGATGTTGCTCACGACGTCGTGGAAGCCTTGCGGCAGCCCTTCGATCGACGAGATCAAAAACATCGAGAGGATCAGCGTCACAATCTTGACGAGCGTGATGAGCGCCATCGAGTGCTGCAAGAAGCGCGTCTGGAACGGCTGGCACTGCTCGAGGTGCACGAGGAAGCAAATGTGAAAGACGAGAATGAGCACGATCTGGAGCGTCGCGTTCAGAAAGGCCGCACCGGTCGTCATGCCGCAGAGCAGCGCCAAGAGCATCTTGGGCGCAAAAAAAAACGGTTCTCATACGTATACTCGTCGTAGAGCGCGCCGTAGCGCATGTTGACGGCCTTCTTCGTGTGTTCGACCTTGGCCACGTCGAGGAGGTCGCGTTCGTGCTTCTGGATGATGTAGTAGCCAAACCAAAGGAGCCCGACAGCCAAAAAGAGGAGCGAGAGAATCGCAAGAAAGAAGGATACGTCAAAGACGCGGTCGCGAACGCCGAGGTAGAGCTGGTAGACGCCCGTGACACCGATCGCGTATTGCGACGCCATGCCGAGAATGACGAGCCCGCCAATTGCATAGTCAAACCACGTTTTGGTCATGTCCGGTTTCTTGAGCACGTAATGGACAAAGCCAACGGCGAGGCCGTAGAGCAGCAAGACGGCGGCGCCCGCGACACGAATACCGAGGAGCGTAATGAGGAAGAGACGGGTCTCGGGCACGCCGATCGTGACAGCATACTGACACACGCCTTGGCAGTCGCCGGGTGATGCCGTGGTGAGAACGCGCGTTGCGTGCTTGGAGGATGTCGTGGCGGTCTCTGGAAAGAGGAACCCGAGGTAGTTGAAGACCGCAAACTTCATCTGCGCGCCAAATTCCGTAAGCACGTTGCTCTTCTCGGAGAGCGGGATCTGGTTGAGCATGCTACCAAACTGCAGCATGTCGAACGTAAAGAGCATCATCGATGAGCTCGCGGCGACCGTGGTGGCGGCCGACGCCGACGACACGAGGCCGCCCGAGATTGAAACCACCGTCCCAATCGCAATCGTAGCCGCGGCGGTTGTCTTGGCGAGCGGTGCGACGGCTGCCTCGGCGTTGGTGGGCACCCAGTTCCAGAGCGGATTGACGACCGCGGGCGCCGGTGTCGGCGAGGCGGGTGCCGTTGTCGGCGACGACGACCACGGTGCCGGGCACCCGCACGACGCCAGCGTCGACGTCGTGTTGCCAGCCGCTGGGCACACGGACGCCACCGACACGTTTTGGATCGTCGACGCAATCGCCGACGGAAAGAAGGACGCAACGTCGATCGACGCGTAGATGGATGAGAAGGCCCCGGCGTCGGCGTGGTAGTTCCACACACCGGCGTCGCACGATGGAAGCGTGCAAAGCGAGACGCAGACGTCGCGGAGCGAGGGAGCTGACCCTTTATAGACGGCGCACGCCGCAGCGTCGACGGCCGCCGACACGTTGAGTGGCGCACCGGCGCACGTGAGGTTGCGCGCAGCCCACTGCCCGTAGAACGTTGCGTCGCATGCGATATCAAACGGACTCGGCGTTGCAAGCGGCGACAGCGTAATCACGTCGTTGCTACCGCTGCGACTGCCGCTCCACGAACCGTCGTTGGGGACCGGTGTCGGCACGACCGGCGTCGGCGGCGGCACGGACGTCGTCGTGTTGGTGCTGTTGCTGTCGGCGACTTGTCGAAGACGACGGTCGACCGTCGGTGCTGGCGTCTTGGTCTTGCCAGTTGGTTTGGGCGTGGTCGTCGGTGTTGTTGGCAGCGTCGTCGGCGCCACCGTCGCCGTCGTCGCGACCGGTGTTGCATCCGGCGTCGGTACCGTCGTCGGCGTCGGTGTCGTCGCATTGACGTTCGGCGGCAACGTGGTTTCGTTGGGCTGCAACGACGTCGGTGCCGGCGTCGAGGCGTCTGGAAAGAGCGTCGCGGGTGCCATCGTTGGCTCGTCGTTGCTGCTGCTGCTGCGAGGATCCTTGGTGGGACTGCTCGGTGTCGTCGTCGACGTCGGCGCCGGCGTCGCCGCCCGCGTGGTGTATACGACGCTGCACGTCGTGCCCGCCTCGGCGATCGCGATGGCGCTCACGAGCCACAGCACACGCCGCATGACGAGATGGAAAATGACACACAAGAGGCGCGCGCGAGAGACAGAGGCGTGCCCGATTACCTAATTTCAGGATCGGTTCCATAGCTTGATGTTTGTATGTGGTAGAGGAGGTCTGCCAATTACATGGGCGGGACCGGCTCTCCAATCGGGATTTGTCCTGATTGAAATATCGACGTCCAGGATCCCGCTTTTCGAACCGTCGCTGATTGGCTACGCGCCATGCGTGTCACGCTAAAGGTACACTTTTGCGACCGGCCGGCCGGCGTGACCAACGCGCTTCGAGGCGACAGCAATTGGACGACACGCCTGGTCTGGAACAAAGGGAAGTCGCGCGCTGAACTACAGTGTACGCAGTGACGTGGCCGGCACCAAGGACGCTGCATCAACCGACTGACACAGTCAAGATTGGATGGTCATATTGTCATTCATGTACAAATCGGTAACTAATATAAGAGGGCGTCGACTACGTGCGAGCAAACGGGCGCTTCCGAGAGTTCATGGTCTGCGGAAGGTACGCACAGGTGGCCACTTGCGGCGGCACTGGCAGCGGCACTGGCACCGGCTTTGCAACAAACGACGACGCACGCTGGACGATCCGCTGGACGCTCGCGGGCACGGGTGCTGGCTTCTTCTTCGTCGTCGTCCTGCGGACCGGCGCGCGGCCAGAGCTACGCGCCTCGGATACGAGCTTTGCCAAGCCGATCCAGTGGATCATCTCGGAGCGCTTGGCCGCCATCGCAATGCGCCACTGCAGCAGATGAACCGGCATGTCGAGCACAATCGTGCGGTAGCGCCTGCGGTACACCGCTTGCAAGAGCGCCGATCGCAGGCAACGCGGTACGGGCAGCAGCGTGTCGAGGCGACGCAGCGCGCGGCGCTCGGTGGCCGCGAGGAGCGACGGTAGCACCGTTGCGCGGAAACGGCGCTGCTGGACGCGCCGGCGAAGAAACGCAAGGACCTTGGGGAAGACACGGGGGTTGATCCGGCTGCGCACGTACTCGTCGGCAAACTTGCGCGCTTCGGTCGCCCAGCTGAAGCTGCCGCCGCAAAAGCACTGGACACTGTCGCAGCCGTCGCCCTTGGTAAGGTACACGGCGCAGTGCGGGCACTGTGCCATCGCCGCGTCAACCTGCAAGGCGCCGCACGGCTCGCCTTCGTGGTGGCCCGACGTCTTGCACGCAAAGCAAATGTCGTGTTTGCAGCACATGGTGGCCGTGAACGGCGAGTGTTGTCGCCAGCAGAGGTAGAGCCGCGCTTGCCGCTCGACGTCACCAAACATGCGGACGAGCACCGTGAGCGTTTGATCGAGAAGAAGACGCAGCGGAATCTGGCGTCGCACACAGCCAAAGAGGTCTTGCGCCGAGACTTCGTAGCGACTGTATGCGCTGCAGCGATCGAGGAGGACTGGTGCAAGCGCTTGCACCGACGCGGGCAGTTGCGTTGCGAGCAGCTCAGCGGCGTTGTGTAATGTGCCGTCGAGATGCGCCTCGACGGACTTGCTCTTCGTCACGTTGGGCAAGAGGCTCTTGGTGCAGTGGCATGCGGGGCAGCAGACGCTGACGGCTGTTACGACCGCGGCTTGCAGGTCGCCAATGCTGGTGGCCTTGGGTGCGAGCGCGCGAAGGCGGCGAAAGCTCACGGGGCGAATGCAGATCGGACACGCAACGCCACGCACGATACCGGTCATGTGCGAGGCCACTTGGATCTGCAAGAAGCGAAGAAAGCAGTCGCGACAAAAGATGGCCGGGCATGACGCGCCGCAGATGGCGGTGACGACGTCGCGGGTCTGCGCATAGCACGCGGCGCACGTGTGCTTGGGCTGACGCGTCGCTCTCGAAGCGCTTGGCGCGCATTGGACATCGATGGCGGCTGCGGTAGTCATGAGGATCTGGTCTTTTACAAATTGGCGTGTTTCCCCGATTTCCTCGAAAAGACCATCACTCTAGATATATCCGTGGACCAGATATCCAGTGTGAATGTTTGTCGTGCTGGATGATCGTCGTTGCCTTTTCCCTCGAACTCGATGCGTACCAACTTGGTTGAGGATTCAAATACCGTCAACATACATACTATATTCATAATGAATGAGACGACCTCAGCACGTCAATGCTCGCTGCATGACGGGCAGTGCAACCACATGCGTGGGCAACGAAATCGCCATGCCCTTGGCGGTGCGGTCGAGCAAGCTAACCTTCTTGGACGCGACGAGGCGGCACAATCGCCGACGCAAGATAACTCGAAGCATCACTTGACGGAAGAGCGTCATCGCTGGCGACGCTAGCCGCTCCGAGATGCGCTCCACCCGGCGCGCATCCACAGAAGCCGGCAGACGCGAGACGATTTCGGACGACCAGCGACGCCGAGCCAGATCGTGGCGCCACGTCATGACGTAGTCTGGGAGGCGCGCCATGTACCGCCGACGGCGCCAGCGCACAATGCCCACAGCAAGCGTCATCGTCCACGACGGTGACGCGCCGATCGTCGATGAAATCGCAGCCAGACGTTGCGCGAGGACAAAAGGGCCAATGGCAGGCACGACCGTCGTCCGGAAGCGCCGACGGTAGACGCAGTGCTTTGCGAACGTCGTCAATGCGCGCTTGAGCGACTTGGCGGCCAAGAGCGTCTGCACACGCAGGTGGAGCTGGGTCCACTGCACCTGCGCCGGCCAGTTGAAGTGCTCGCCGCAAAAGCACGTGATCGCATCGCAGCCGTCGCCCTTGACGAGGAAGACCATGCACGCGGGGCACTGCGCCATGTCGTCCGTATCGTACTCTTTCATGTCGCAGTCGTGCTCGCTGTCGTACCGGTACTCTGCTTGGCAGAGGAAGCACACGTCGCGCTCGCAGCAAGAAGTCATCGCCGAGCAAGCGTAGTGCATCATCCAATGAGTAAAGAGCAAGCCCGCACGCTCGCTGTCGCCGATTCTTCGGAGGATCGTGTCAACCGAAGCGTTGGCTGCGCGCACCCGAGCGTAGAGCTCCTGCACCGAGAGCTTGTGCTCGACGTACGCCATCACGTCGTCGGCCAGCACCAGGTTCGTTGGTGTCTCGGACGAGGCAAGGTGCGTCTCGTACAGGGTATCGTCGGTCTCGGGGAGGAGGCACGTATTCTCGTCGCAGCCGGGGCACCGGACGTAGCACGCCGTCTTGACGCGTTCGTTCAAGTCGTACAATAGCCCGCGCGTGGTGTCGTCGCTGCACCGACGGCGGAACGAGCACATGTTGACCGGCCGCACGCAGAGCGGGCAATGCAGCTTGGTCAGGACACCGGCGATCGCGCTCGCTAGCTTGGAGGCTACGTACGCGCGCAAGCAGGCGACGCAGAGGGCGCCGGAACACGTAGCCTCGTCACCGCAGACACCGCGGATCGTTGCGACATCGTCGAGGCAAATGGCACATGTCGTGGGCTCTTGCTCGGGCTCCATGAGGCAAATGCAGAAATGGTATTTGCAGCTTGACGTCGGAGATCGATGTGAGTGATGGTGTTCGAGGAACCCGGACCAGACGCTTGGATCACAACCACAAGATTTGAACGCAGTGGAGCTCGTGGTCTGGCTCGTCCCATGGACGAGTGCTGGCGCCTGCTGGGCTATCGCTGCGTGATGGTCCTACTTGAACTTCAATCGCTCAGGGTTTCATCGTCGATTGAGACATGGCTCATGACGTGGCATCGTGTCTGCAAGTTTCGCCCAAGCACGGTTTTCCGGGCGCTGGCCTCGACCTTGGACTATGCCGTCGTCATAAAGAGCGCAAGGGAGCATGCACCGTGTTATGCCAAAGAGAAGACCCCGTTATCGTCTCGGTCGCCTTCCTGCCTTCTTGTGTGGCTCGATCAGGGTGGCCTTTGAGCATCATTTTGGGACATACCTGTTTATCCCTGGGCTAAACCATCATGTTGGGATAAATCCATGCATGACTGTGAAATGGCCGCCGATCGGTGGCGTCACCCATTCCGCCCAATTTGGGTAAAAGTGGCAAATCAGATGCACCCTAGCACGGGTGCATTGACGCCGCTCTTGGGTCCACGATTGCTTGCTCGTGGATGGAACCCGCTAAAGCATTGCGCGGCGCTAGCGAGCAAGTATATCGATCGAAACGTACGTCCTTGGTAGCGCTGTCGCCACACATGATGCAGCCGTTCCATGCAGCCGCCCTGCTTTCCAGGCTCTCTGCGGCTGCACTCCTGTCCCTCAATCGGTATTGAAGCAAACAATCTTCGTGCCTTGGGACAGCGGCGTTGTATTGCGCTAGTGCAATTTGTGTGTGCCCCGCCTGACGCGACAGTTAAACGATGATGTAGTGTACTACTGTAGTACGACTTGCAGCCACAAGGTGAACGAGTGGAAGCGACACTCGGCCGCCCTGTTGCCGCATTGTACCCGGCGGCAACGCTTTGCTTGTACAATACATTTAGAAGCCGTTGCCCTCACCCATCGAACTCGTAACCTCGTACGCGAGTGTTAGCGGGCGGTCTTGATAGCTAGAGTCTACTATGAGAAAGCACGAGGCTCATAACGTATGGCCATGGCAGCATAGCGCGTCTGTCTGCTGCGCACCGTTGCAGCCGGCGACGTTGTTGTCGTCCGCTCCTGGATGAGAACGTGCGACGAAGCAGCCCGCGTCCGTGGCCCAAGATCGTTGGCGGCGGCCGCTGATTGGGTAGCGCACGTATCTTGCTCACTCTATGGAACTCCAAACACTTGGATTTTGTATGATGTGGTTCAGCGAGTCAGTTCTGAAAACTTTCTTTTCAGTACAATTTGTATCGCCCTCGCGGTACCTTGAAGGTCTTTTTTAAAATATAACATGTATTTTGTAATACATATGCATTATAATGCGT